GCCTGATTTAGCATACCTTCCTGATTATGTGGAATACCAGTATGTTGCTGCACCCCCTTTGCGTTCATTATTTCCAACGGCCAGTGATGATGCTCTAGATTTGTTATCGAAGATGTTAACTTACGACCCGAAAGCTAGAATTACAGCACAGCAGGCACTAGAGCACAGGTATGCAAAACTCTTCCATTGTTTTTTTTTTTTTTTCTTTTCCTGTTCCTGTTAGTTTTGGCTCTCATCTCTGGTCTACAATCTAGGTACTTCTCTTCTGCACCACTGCCTACAGAACCAGAGAAACTTCCTAGACCTGCTCTTAAGCGGTCTAAAGCTTCAGATTTTAACCCTCAAAAGGGTCCTACTGTGTTCTCACCACCGAGAAAGTCAAGGAGAGTGATGCCAGAACGTGAAGGATTTGAAGGAAATGCTCACCGACTTGATAAGATTGAGGAGCATGCTGGTGAAGTGAAACAGGCAGATGGTGACATTGCTGGCAGGAATGAACAAGTGCCAATGTCAATAGATTTTTCAATCTTTGCATCAAAACCCCCTAGTAGACCTACAATTAACAGGTAAAGCATTATCTTCTGGATCATGAGTCATAATATTTTTCCCAACGCATGCATAAAGTGAATTAGATGTGTAAGAAAAGTGTTTCAATGTGAGGATGGAGCTTTAAACTTTGTACTTATATTTTTATTTAATTTTACCACACAATCCTCCCAGGCTTATATAGAAAGAAAAATAAATGTCCCTAAGTTTGATCCTTAGACCTTGTGTGCTTCAATGTACTTTCTACATGATAGTGTCATCTGATTCATTTTCTCTTTTCATTTGCAGTGCTGACAGATCTCATCTAAAGAGGAAACTAGATCTTGAATTCCAACACCCAGAATAAGAAAACTAAATTAATGTTATTCGTACCCAGATTTTTTATGTTCAAGGGATGTATTATTAGTCATCACTCATCTGGGAGGTATGCAATGAATTTGAATTTTGTTATATTTATTTGGCGGTCTCCAACCTGTTCTCATATCTGTATGCAAGCACTTTTTCGTCTATTATGTGGCTTGAGATCATCAAGAGGAATCAATTCTCGTTGAAGTAGAAATTCATTCTTTTTTGAGATTGAAGTGGGACTCAAAAATAATTGTAAAGAAAAAGAATTGTTACTCCAAATTCTAATAGAACTTGTATACTAGCCCATGTAAGGCCAAATTTTGAGGCGTTTAATTTTTGTTTAATGAGAGTTGACATTTGGGGAAAATTGAACTTGTGTTAGTGGGCACTTCAGTTTTATTATATAAAGCGGAATATTATTTACTGATTCTACCTTGTTTTTCTCTAGTTGGTGACATGCTGAAGCTTTGCCAGATTCTTATTACATTGGTTACTGGTATTTTATGAGGGAGTCAGAGATGCATCAGTTTGAGATGAAAATTTGTGATAAGATTTGAGCTGTGTAATGTTGCTAATAATTTGTTTTGTGCATTATAATACTTTGTAAAGACGGTTGGACCAAAAGAAACGGATCCCCAAAGTGTCTGGTTGAATGTTTGATGCTGTAACAATAATTGGAAGTTCTTGAAGGCAGATGCTCAGAATTATGTTCCATACTCGCTCACTCTCTCCTTAGCTTTCTTTGCCTAACAATAAAGAAGATAAAATGCAGTTACTAGTGAAGGAATATGGGAGAGAAAGCAAAGTTTGTGAACGTTTTTACCATTTAAAAAACGATTTTGGAATAGACAAGTATATTTCGAAAAGTAATGGAAATAAGAGACAATTGAGAGAGAGAGAGAGAGAGAGATTTCACTTCTAAGATTCCAGTTATAATAAGGAGGAATAGCATTTGAACAAAGATTGCACAGATGATCCCCACCAGAGCCCCTATTAACCGCCGTCAAATTCATCAGTTACTTTGCTTTGCATTTAATTTGTTTCCAAAGGTTCAACCAGAATGAGAAAATAATAAAGATTTGTTTAAATATTAATTACCTTACCATCAATGTGGAAAACAAAAGCTAGTAACCCAGAAGTTGGAAGTCCCACCAAATACTATGAAGCAAGATTCACATATGCATCTATCTTCTGCCAGCCGCATCCTCTCGCTACGCCTAATCGTTCACCAAAACACTTTGTTTCACTGTTGAAAATTGTTTCTAATCTAATGCAAGGCAACCAGGGTGGTGCAGAGATTGTTAAACAAACCTGAAAGAACGCACTGGCGAGCATCAATGAAGGTGGAAGGTGGAAGCTGCAAGAATTGGATTCATAGTTGCTACATATGTGACCACTTCTGTGTCTCTGCTATAAGCATAACCCCATTTATTGCAGATCGATGCCAATACTATTCCCCCCACAATGCCCTCAGTAATAGTCAGGATTAAGCCTATGCATACTGCTAAACGTGAAACACACACGTCCAAAGATAGATAAATCACAAACGGAATTAGTTTTATCATTTAGTTGTATGCTTTATTATTAAAAGTCTACTACTCATATATATATGACAGGTAGCTAACCTCGCAGCGCCACTCAGGCCAAAGGGAATCATCCAAATAGCTGAAGTTGTATTGAGGCTGAACAATAATGTGAAACTTATCATATTGAAAGATTAATTCTTAAATGCTGCATGTAAATTTTATCAACTGTCAGAATGAAAATATTAACATGAAAACTCTTTGGATCCAACACTCACCTGATTGAAAGCACTGCAGTTTCTAACTCTGGATTAGGAAGAAGAACTGCTAGTAGGACAATCATCTGAAATGACCATGATTCCTAGCTGTTCAACAGTTTCATGGTAAATCATATCACTAATTTATTCACATATTTCATCATATTTGAACATAAATGAATGTAACTATTTGGAGATGGAAAAGATAGCTAGAATTTTTCCACACTATTGCAGCTGAAGGTATAGCCAGCTGAAGATAGGCAAAAATATCATGCAAGGCCTCTTTAGAAAAGCCTGTCCAAGTTTTAGCACACAAGAAGAAGAGAACATCACATAAAATGCCAATAATACCACATTGATCCAACAAGAAACTGAATTTGCTAGCGCAGCTTCTCTACTTCCAAGACCGGATTTAAACACCAGAATCCAACACACAAGCATATGCAGTGAAGTTGTTATTCCAGAGCTTAGCATCAATGGGAATACTATGTTTTTTTTTGTGTTCTGAAAAACCTGACAAAGCACTGCAGAGGACCATAGGCAAAAAGGCTCCGGATCATGTAATGAGCATATAATCCTGCTGCTTTTGATATGTGAGGATCTTGGTCCATTGCAGTTAAAATTTTTGCAGTGTTTGCCCAAACTAGAGCCAGAGGGAGGGCGATGAGTGAAAGAACAAATATGGCTCTTTGCAAGTGTATGCCTAGCATTTGATATTGTTTTACCCCATATGCCTGCCCACAGAAAGTATCCAATGCACATGCCATTCCTATCTATTCAAACATAACCCAGGTTTTGAACAAGATTCAGTAAAAAAATTAACGTTACATTGTGTTGAAGAACTAAAACTCTTTGTTGAGTGAACTAAAAATTAATATTATTAGTCCTGAAATCAATGATGCTGGACTTTTCATAAAATAAAGATAATAAGGATATATATATATATTTCATGATTTTATTAAACTGGTGTGTTTATGATGTGATATTCATAGATAATATAACATTTTTGGTAAAATAAGAAACTTAAACACATTGAAATGGAGAATACAGGTTGGGCTCTAAACTGAGATAACAAAGCTTCAAACAATTATTCAAGAGAGCAACAGAGAAAGTAATCAAACTCGCCAACAAGTTGAAACCAGTGACTGAGGCGAAGGAACTGGCAAGAGAAGCACTAGAGAAAGCTACTTCACCAAGATGACCCACAAACATCACAGATATAACCTGTAAACAGTAGATTAATAAGCTTTCAAATATCAGAGGCCCTGCCAGCCATACCTACTTCTTCACTTCCTCACAATGCCATCTTCTTTTCTACTTATTCTCTCTTTACTGAATCCAGAAGCAGAAGCAGAACCATCAGATGTTTGAATCAGAGCCAATCTTAAAGAAGACCTNTGAGATAACAAAGCTTCAAACAATTATTCAAGAGAGCAACAGAGAAAGTAATCAAACTCGCCAACAAGTTGAAACCAGTGACTGAGGCAAAGGAACTGGCCAGAGAAGCACTAGAGAAAGCTACTTCACCAAGATGACCCACAAACATCACAGATATAACCTGTAAACAGTAGATTAATAAGCTTTCAAATATCAGAGGCCCTGCCAGCCATACCTACTTCTTCACTTCCTCACAATGCCATCTTCTTTTCTACTTATTCTCTCTTTACTGAATCCAGAAGCAGAAGCAGAACCATCAGATGTTTGAATCAGAGCCAATCTTAAAGAAGACCTTTCACATTCACTCCCCATAATTTCCTTCTCTTCTTCTTTGAGCATGGAGAGTAAGTTTATAATATATAAATATATATTTCTTTCCTACTAACGTCTTGATTTGTCTTATGTCAGAAAACTGCTACACAGAATTTTCTTAAAAAATTATTTTGTCCCTTGGACCAAGATCAGCACCTCTAGTAACATAATAATAAGTTTCTGGTGAGAGACGTGTTCCATCTTTCTATAGATTGAATGGTAAAGGGCTGATTTGCACATGCTGCCTCATTTTCTTCAATTTGGAATCTTTGAAGCTTTGTACATACTAAGATGAGTTATTAAAGGGTTGCAGGGGCAATTCATTAGTTAAGTAAAGTGACAAATATATGCTCCTGAGTCTGGTCAATTCTACCAACCAATCTCCTTAGAGATATCAAGTTAATGTTTTTTTGCCCATGTGTGGAAGCAAGTGGTTTTTGATAAAATCTGACACTACTGATATTTGAACTTTTCCATTTCCTGAAACATAGATAAGAGCCATGAGGATTCCATTCATGGACCTGACAGCTGAGATATGTGTAATTTACAGCAGAGAATAAACACTGTCATCACCTAAGTTATGAAAAATTAAGAGAACGAGGTATTAATTTACATCATTAACCAAAACCAGTTTTTCTCTGAGCCATTAGAAGATGATTCAGATACTTACATTTGAGGAAAACGCTATATAAGAAAACTTAATAGGCAGGCTCAACAAAGCACCCATTTGTGCCAAATCATGCTGTTAGTCTGTTACCTAATACAATATTAACACATTATTATTCTAAATTTCCACCTTTCATTAATCAACTCTTGTTGACAAATCAGCTTTAGGACACTGTATTAACAGGGATTACAGAGTCATAGACTCTCTCTGTAGCTTTTTTGGCCTGAACAAGAACGAGAAGACAGTGATCAGATGTAAAATGATATATATGTTGGGAGAACTAGGATGACAAACGCATAAAAATCATAACTTGTACATTGAAAAATAATGTGTCGTACCTCTTGCTCCCAGTTAGTGCGAATAGTAATAATTAAAAGAGACGACACTTGCACAATGAGGGCACATATAATACCTAGCCAAAGCCCCTGCAGAGTAGTACATATGCAGTACACTGTGTTACAAAGATATTACACACTTGCAATTAAGTGAATACGGAAAAAATCCTGTAATAAAAAATAATGGGCTGGGACCCTTTACCTTGCCGCCTATGTGGAGAACGAAGGCTAGCAAAACAGCAGAAGGAATCCCCACCAAGTAATATGATCCAAGATTAACATATGCACCAATATTCTGCCATCCACATCCTCTAGCATTGCCTAATCCAACACAATCAAGATAGTTATACTACCAGTATATATAGATTTATTTTTTCATATTGAGTAAAAGCTGAGAGGCAATAAGAACCTGAAAGAACACACTGCAGTCCATCTAAAAAGTTTGACACTGCAAGAATAGGCATCATGGAGGACACATATTTAACCACTTCTATTTCATTGCTATAAGCATAACCCCAGATGTTGCGTATCAAAAGCAAGACTGATCCAACCAAAATGCCCACAGTAATGGCCACAACTAGGACAACACGTACTGCTAAACGTGCACCTTCTGCATTTCCTGCTCCTAATTCATTGGAGACCCGAGTGCTGTAATTACCAACATTAACACATTAATGGGTTCAATTTGATCGATTTAAGTGTATATTAGATTCATTACGAAGAAATAGTTAATAGTTAATATGATTGTAGATCAACTGTTACAAACTTCAGAACGCAAACGTGTAATTCCTTAATTTGCAACTCACCTCACAGCACCACTAAGTCCGAAGGGGATCATCCAAACTGTTCCAGCTATATTAAGGCTGGAAAATGCAAAATTTCGGTCAGCAAAACAATATACCAACAATACACCATTGTTTAAAAGAAGTAACAAATTGCATAATTGTTTCAAGACAAGCAAATAAATTTGGAAAATTTTAATCTATTGAAATAAAAGCTAACCTTATGGAAAGCACTGAAGTTTCTAATTCTGGATTAGGAAGAAGACCAGAGAGGAGAACCATCATTTCGAATGACCACATCTCCAAGCTTCAAAGTGAACAACTAAATTAAGATCTTACACAAAGTGTTTGTGCATTCTAATAGCAGACTATTCTGATTCTTGTTTAAATTTCACTAAACAACCGCATAGAGCAAAGAGAAGAAACATGCTAATTACCAGACCATAACAGCTGAAGGAATAGCAAGTCTAATAAAATTGAGAATATTGTGCAAGGCCTCCATCGAAAAACCTGTCCAAGTTTTCGAGCATGAAGGAGAAAATTTGACATAAATTGCCAAAAGTATCACATTTATCCAGTAGGAGATTGAATTTGCCAAGGCAGCTCCTCTACTTCCAAGACCAGACTTGAAAACCAGAATCCAACATACAAGTATGTGTAACAAAGTAGTAATTCCAGAGCTTAGCATCATTGGAAATACAATATTCTGCGTTTGCAAGAATCGTACAAGGCACTGAAGAATAGCATATGCGAAAAGGCTAGGGATCATGAAACGAGCATATAATCCTGCTTCTTCTGATATATTAACATCTTGATGCGCAGCAATAAGAATGGATCTTGTGTTTGCCCAAATAAAAGACAGTGGAATGCTAACAAGTAAAAGAACAAACATGGCTATCTGCATGTGTATTCCAAGCATAGAATACTGCTTTGCTCCATATGACTGTCCACATTGCGTCTCTAATGCACTTGCCATTCCCATCTATTAAAACAATAAAAAACTGAAAAATTCAAGTTTTATTCAATACTTAAGTACATTTAAACGTTGATTTTATCTATAGAAATCTCTTAAAGGGGTACCATTGATCTAGTCCCTTAGACTCTCAACAATGTAACTCACAGTTTTTACCAAATTGCCTTTCTATTTCAACTTATCTGTCCTAATTATCACATGAACTGTTCAACAACAAAGGCAATGGAAGGTCTTAACACGTTATTAAGAACTTATCAATTGATATGCAGGGTTGGAGTTAGGAATTTGTATTCGAGGGACCATACTGTGAAAGCAAAAAGCAGGACGACTACATGTAACAAATTTATTGATAAATAACCATAGTTACCTTTAATTTTAGTTTGCATAAATCTAACAAATTGTACAGGTAAGAAAATTTCTCGTTAAGTTACGTACTTACTTAAAAACGAATAAACCTCTTGCATGCTTTCACACCCTGATAATTTTTTTTTTTCTTTCATGGTTTACTTTTATATAGGATTGTTATGCTATCGATTTACTGATGATACTGTATCCTTTAACTATATGAATTGCCGAATTGGATTAAATTGCATTAAAGTATATCAATCTGAATCAATTTAACTGTTGTTGTAATCCTTAGTATAAACGTTTCTGTAAAGCAATATGAATGAATCCTGTTTCTATAAGCTGAAGTGTGACTCCATTTAAGCCACATGTCACAACAAAACATGATAAACATAACACTAAACTCACTCCTAAGATAACTCATGTCCACAAAATTTAAGAGAGGGTGGAGAAATGACTGTATTTCTATCCAATAAATTAAAGATTGTACATAGTCAGTGGCTCACTGCATTTGCAAATCAAGAACATACCTATTGTCTCCTTTAAGCTTTAAAAATGGCAAAATAAGATGGCTAGATTAACTATAAATAACTATTGCAGAAAAAACACAGCAATTTTCTATATTTAGTATGCAAAATGAGTAACAAAGCCGAAACATATATGTAAAATTAATAAACCAAACTCAACTCACCAACAAGCTGAAACCAGTTACAGATGCAAAAGATGTGGCCATGGAAGCACCAGAGAGTGGCAACTTGCCAAGGTGACCCACAAACATCACAGATATCATCTGCAAACAATACTGTAACAAGCTAACAGAGATCAAAGGCCCTGCTAGCCATAGCTGCTTCTTCACTTCTTCAGAAATAACCTTCTTTTCGGTGCAAGTTCCATTGTTTCTGTCTCTGCTGAAACCCTGATAGGTTTCTTCAGAGATTTCAATCAATGGAGAATTCAGAGATGGTTTCTGGTCTTCTCTCCCCATGTTCTTCCTGCAGAGAGAAATAAAACAGAGTATAGAAGAGTTACAGTTTCTCCTGTTAATTCTACAGCCTCATATAAAGGAAGCCACAGCATTGACTTGGTTTCAAATGTAACACTTGTTTTTAGTTGGAGTTGTGTACCACATTTGGGGCCTATTGCCTGGTCAGTGGGCAGGGCAGGTGTAAGTTATTAATTCATTATTGGGTTTCGGTTTAAGAATAGAAATCTTTATAATATTAGGCTTTAGTCTTTTAAATCTAATATATAAATATACTTTTATCTTCTAATGAATGATAACAAATCATAGGATAAATTATATTAATTGTAAAAGCGAGGGTCGAGACAATATTACAATAATATTGATTCTGTTAGACGTAGTCTGTTAATTGGATGAATTAAGAGAAAATCGTAAGTATTTGTTCTTTCTCTTTACTGTTTATAGTTTTTGTGTTTAGTGTTATTTTGGTTTGTATCTCTCTATTCTTTCATTTTTCACCAAGAAAGTTATTATCTTCTATGTGTTGTTTCTTGTTTGCCCTTGGCAATTAATTGTAAGAACTTACGACAACCATATGTTTTGGACTTGAGACTGACTTTGGCTTTTATTAAAAAAACCTAAAGTAATAAGAAGGAAAAAAAAGCCATTGGCGTCATTTGTCCATGTTCAAATTCAATGGCTTAATCTGCTCAGGTATTACTTTAAAGAAAGAGTTAATAAATCAACTTTACAAGAGAATCAAATTATTAATGTAGGAGAAGACAAATGGTGGACGTTGCATGATTTGATTTGCTATCATAAAAAATCCTGATATCCTCACTTTGTCAACATTTACAACTCTGATAATTAGTTCTTTAAAGAATAATCATTTGCATTTGAAGCCTGGTTTATTATAAAAATATGAATATCTCTCCACCTTACATCACTAGTGCATTAGCTTATGGCAATTTGCAGAGGTCACATGCTTTGGCTTTTCCTCCTGGCGGCAAGTTTGTCTTCCAAGCAATTAATATTATTATTGCCACCCAGGAAATTTTGGTTAAGAATAATATAGACGACAAACGGTAAAAGGTCTTTGAGTTTTCGTTGGACACAGCTCTCTATAGACAATGACAACGTGACATGTCGTTTTCCTCATTAATGGTGATTAAATTTTTGAAGGGCATGCTTTCTTTGTTTATCACATGGCTTGGACTTTGTGTTAAAATTTGCTTCGAAAAGGTGAATGTTGGTTTAAAGGAATAGCAAGGAGACGAACGATAGTTAATTAATTACAGTGGATGTTGTAAATAATTCTAAACATGTAGGGGCTTATTAATTGTATATGAAAATTTAGGTAACGTCTTGATATTTTATCCCTTCAACATAAAGATGGCGAAAAACTTACTGTAAGCACCTATTTCTGCTGGCTCAACGAGCGTGTCCTGCTGCTCCGTTTAGCTGAATAACACAACAGTGGATCATCTTAGTTTAAGGTACGAAGTTACTTGATTGCATATCATTAAATTTTTATTCTTTGCATTGTTGAAGAATTGTATGTTAAATTCCGCTGAATTGTCTTGGGAGTTGACCTGTATTTATCTAAGTACAATATTGACAAAATTTGCATGAATTAGGCTTCTTAAACAGATTCATAGGTGGGATATAAAACACATTCAGTTTAATTACTTAAATTACAGTTGGGGAGATTAAAGATTTTTGTAGGGAGTTTCATTGCAGGTGGAGGATTGCCCATTTCTTATATAAGTTCAATTTTTTGTAGTGATTTATGTGTAAATTAAGGTATTTATCCTTCAATTGAGGAATATGGATCTGCATCTTGCTTAAATTAACAAGTTCTTGGAATAATGAGTTCCTGCTCATAAATTCATCTTGTGTTTGTTGGCGTGAGCCCCAAATTTTGAATTGGAAGAGAATTCAAGAGTTGCTGGATTATATATGTAAAAAGTATACATTTTTAAGTTTGTAATGTGTTGGTATACTTCGTTTTCTCTCTCTCTTTGGAGTCCTATGCAATTTTCTCTTAGCTGGGAAGTACAGGAAATTTCTGGAGATGTTTTATTTAGAATGGTTTTTTTTCTGTTTATTGTTTCAAACGAAGGAAATTAAGTTGGTTAAAGTCTACCCATTTATCTTTGGTGTTTCTTTTTTTGTTTTCTTTTTACACCTAGTATTCTAAATTTCAAATTGCAAGCTTTCTAGAGTTTTTCTTTTTCTTTGTTATTACTTAGAATTGACTTTAAGTTCCTTGGTTTATACAGAATTGTGTTTTTGGAATGACATTTTAAATCGTAGAACATAAGAATGTAAATTCCCCAGTTAAGTCTCCAAATATGGGATCATAAGTGCACCAGCCACTTTAAGAAAGACAATGGGAAGTTCCTTTCCTTGATGAGTTCTTGGTCTGGTTTGTACGTGTTCTAGAAAACAGATTTTTGTTAGAACTCTCTACTCTTTCTTAACTGAACAGTTAGTAGGTCAGGAGTTCTATGTTTTAATTGGACTGTAACATGTTTGAGCTGCCTACTATGTATTAAAGATCCCAAACTAATTTTACCCATCTTAGCAGGATGTGAATGGGTTGTGTCTGATTAAAAATCATTGGATGCATGGTTTAGCTTCTCCCTGGACTGGGATGTAGTTCAATTTCCTTGATTTGAACAAAATTCATGAACTGTTGCACAAGCTTTGAGAAGCAATATTGTGAATTATATTAAATATGCAACACTTTACTTAAAGATCAGATCTCTTATTTAGTTATCACTGTCAATTATTTTATTCATGTTGCTTTGCTTATTGGTTGTGTTTAATTGGAGAATGATCAAACTGTGAATAAGTTGCCTCATTGGGAAGTTATTCAATTAACACCATGACTTAAGGTTGGCTGATTCATTCCAACGAAAAAATGCTTCCTTTGTTTGTTAAATCGTGGAGCTCAATATCTATATTTAGACATTTCCTTTTCTACTAGATTTTGAGTAATGTTCTCAAATTTATTGTCAAGCTCTGAAACACACTTAGGACATAAATCTACTGATGTGTTGGCTTTCCCTGTTGACTTTAACAACCATTCTGTATGTTGTTTAAAGCTTCAACTGGAAGTTTTCCATTTGACATCCTACATTGTTGTAAATAGTTTTTGACCTAAAGTAGCTTCTAATTTCTCCAAATGTTCTATGTTTTATCTTCTAGTGCAGAGGTGCTGAAGGTAGAAATCAACGTAACATAAACTTAAAATAAGTAGTGGAGAGGATGAGTGGCAATAGCCTTAAGAGCGTGTTGGCTGGAGCGGTCATAACAGGGGTGAATGAAGCTAGGGCAAGGATCTTTAGACATTTACTTAACCCAACAGGACGAAGATCTCCCCACAAGATTTTACGCAAGAAGCTCAGTTGGTGACAAATATCTCTTTACTGTTTATAGTTTTTGTGTTTAGTATTATTTTGGTTTGTATCTCTCTATTCTTTCATTTTTCACCAGGAAAGTTATTATCTTCTATGTGTTGTTTCTTGTTAGCCCTTCGCAATTAATTGTAAGAACTTACGACAGCCATATGTTTTGGACTTGAGACTGGCTTTGGATTTTATTAAAAAAACCTAAAGTAATAAGAAGGAAAAAAAAGCCATTGGTGTCATTTGTCCATGTTCAAATTCAATGGCTTAATCTGCTCAGGTATTACCTTAAAGAAAGAGTTAATAAATCAACTTTACAAGAGAATCAAATTATTAATGTAGGTGAAGACAAATGGTGGACGTTGCATGATTTGATTTGCTATCATAAAAAATCCTGATATCCTCACTTTGTCAACATTTACAAATCTGATTAGTTCTTTAAAGAATAATCATTTGCATTTGAAGCCTGGTTTATTATAAAAATATGAATATCTCTCCACCTTACATCACTAGTGCATTAGCTTATGGCAATTTGCAGAGGTCACATGCTTTGGCTTTTCCTCCTGGCGGCAAGTTTGTCTTCCAAGCAATTAATATTATTATTGCCACCCAGGAAATTTTGGTTAAGAATAATATAGACGACAAACGGTAAAAGGTCTTTGAGTTTTTGTTGGACACGGCTCTCTATAGACAATGACAATGTGACATGTCGTTTTCCTCATTAATGGTGATTAAATTTTTGAAGGGCATGCTTTCTTTGTTTATCACATGGCTTGGACTTTGTGTTAAAATTTGCTTCGAAAAGGTGAATGTTGGTTTAAAGGAATAGCAAGGAGACGAACGATAGTTAATTAATTACAGTGGATGTTGTAAATAATTCTAAACATGTAGGGGCTTATTAATAGTATATGAAAATTTAGGTAACGTCTTGATAGTTTATCCCTTCAACATAAAGATGGCGAAAAACTTATTGAAAGCACCTATTTCTGCTGGCTCAACGAGCGTGTCCTGCTGCTCCGTTTAGCTGAATAACACAACAGTGGATCATCTTAGTTTAAGGTACGAAGTTACTTGATTGCATATCATTAAATTTTTATTCTTTGCATTGTTGAAGAATTGTATGTTAAATTCCGCTGACTTGTCTTGGGAGTTGACCTGTATTTATCTAAGTACAATATTGACAAAATTTGCATGAATTAGGCTTCTTAAACAGATTCATAGGTGGGATATAAAACACATTCAGTTTAATTACTTAAATTACAGTTGGGGAGATTGAAGATTTTTGTAGGGAGTTTCATTGCAGGTGGAGGATTGCCCATTTCTTATATAAGGTCAATTTTTTGTAGTGATTTATGTGTAAATTAAGGTATTTATCCTTCAATTGAGGAATATGGATCTGCATCTTGCTTAAATTAACAAGTTCTTGGAATAATGAGTTCCTGCTCATAAATTCATCTTGTGTTTGTTGGCGTGAGCCCCAAATTTTGAATTGGAAGAGAATTCAAGAGTTGCTGGATTATATATGTAAAAAGTATACATTTTTAAGTTTGTAATGTGTTGGTATACTTCGTTTTCTCTCTCTCTTTGGAGTCCTATGCAATTTTCTCTTAGCTGGGAAGTACAGGAAATTTCTGGAGATGTTTTATTTAGAATGGTTTTTTTTCTGTTTATTGTTTCAAACGAAGGAAATTAAGTTGGTTAAAGTCTACCCATTTATCTTTGGTGTTTCTTTTTTTGTTTTCTTTTTACACCTAGTATTCTAAATTTCAAATTGCAAGCTTTCTAGAGTTTTTCTTTTTCTTTGTTATTACTTAGAATTGACTTTAAGTTCCTTGGTTTATACAGAATTGTGTTTTTGGAATGACATTTTAAATCGTAGAACCTAAGAATGTAAATTCCCCAGTTAAGTCTCCAAATATGGGATCATAAGTGCACCAGCCACTTTAAGAAAGACAATGGGAAGTTCCTTTCCTTGATGAGTTCTTGGTCTGGTTTGTACGTGTTCTAGAAAACAGATTTTTGTTAGAACTCTCTACTCTTTCTTAACTGAACAGTTAGTAGGTCAGGAGTTCTATGTTTTAATTGGACTGTAACATGTTTGAGCTGCCAACTATGTATTAAAGATCCCAAACTAATTTTACCCATCTTAGCAGGATGTGAATGGGTTATGTCTGATTAAAAATCATTGGATGCATGGTTTAGCTTCTCCCTGGACTGGGATGTAGTTCAATTTCCTTGATTTGAACAAAATTCATGAACTGTTGCACAAGCTTTGAGAAGCAATATTGTGAATTATATTAAATATGCAACACTTTACTTAAAGATCAGATCTCTTATTTAGTTATCACTGTCAATTATTTTATTCATGTTGCTTTGCTTATTGGTTGTGTTTAATTGGAGAATGATCAAACTGTGAATAAGTTGCCTCATTGGGAAGTTATTCAATTAACACCATGACTTAAGGTTGGCTGATTCATTCCAACGAAAAAATGCTTCCTTTGTTTGTTAAATCATGGAGCTCAATATCTATATTTAGACATTTCCTTTTCTACTAGATTTTGAGTAATGTTCTCAAATTTATTGTCAAGCTCTGAAACACACTTAGGACATAAATCTACTGATGTGTTGGCTTTCCCTGTTGACTTTAACAACCATTCTGTATGTTGTTTAAAGCTTCAACTGGAAGTTTTCCATTTGACATCCTACATTGTTGTAAATAGTTTTTGACCTAAAGTAGCTTCTAATTTCTCCAAATGTTCTATGTTTTATCTTCTAGTGCAGAGGTGCTGAAGGTAGAAATCAACGTAACATAAACTTTAAATAAGTAGTGGAGAGGATGAGTGGCAATAGCCTTAAGAGCGTGTTGGCTGGAGCGGTCATAACAGGGGTGAATGAAGCTAGGGCAAGGATCTTTAGACATTTACTTAACCCAACAGGACGAAGATCTCCCCACAAGATTTTACGCAAGAAGCTCAGTTGGTGACAAAATTTCACAGCGGTACCCATATGATATAAAAAAGGATGACCCACTTGTGATGGCCCGTCAAGAACAAGAGCGATTATCCAAGCTTGAAATGTTCAAGCGGCGTGGCAAGGGACCACCCACGAAGGGCCAAGGGAAGCGTGCTGCAAAACGTAATAAGTAGAGATACTGCCAACACGTGCATTTTGAATTTGAATGTTAAGGAAATGTTTCTTCACGGCAGATGATCACCGAACACATCGTAGAAGTTATAAATTTTGATCTCATTCTGGAATTTGGGAAAAGCAAACAGTTTTCTTTGAGCATCTTATTTTTTATGTGAAAAGATGTTTGTAGATCATGCTTCTTTCTGTTTACAGTTAAAATCTTTTATCCTTGTGTGTAGAATTGTATTCGATAGGTGGAAGGATTTTAAAATTATGTAGTACTCCGTCTATTGATGTTTATGTCTCTCATTCATATTAGCCCATATGCTGTTCTGAATCTGATGTTGGACTTTCTTTGAGCATAAACTTTAGTAGCATGCATCGTGCTCTTTGTTTATAACAGTTTCTAATTTAGGATGGCCAGTTCAGGGTTGTAAGCTGCATTTCTCAGGTCTAGTCCGGAGATATACCAGTTATAACATTCAGGGCTGGTTTTACGACTTTGACTAGAATTTGAACCTACCCAAGAGAGGCAACCCAATGATCCCATGATCAAACAACACACCACGGATCAGCATCATCCTGTTTTATGCGTAGGAGCCAAGAATGTTGCAAGTGTGATTGAACTCAAGCTAATGCTTCTGTCTGATGCAACATGAGGTCATGGCTATTATTATGTGTTTCATCCAATTGGGTCAGTATGGGCCTTAAATTTAGGTCCAATTGGATTTCAAGTTGGTATCAGTCTGATTTGTATCTTGTAGCTGAAGGAGTAAATATGGTTGGTATGGGCCTAAGTGTAGGTCAGATTGGATTTCGATTTAAAATGTAATAAATATTACGTTACTCTTGATTATATCCGAATCGCACTCGCCTTCATACCCAACTGAATCTTTGGTATTGAGCTTAATCCTGCAAGGCCCATTAATCAATCATGTGTGTAAGCATCACCCCTTTTAATTGCAGTAGTAAACGTTTTCTTAATGAAATACAAGTTCTACCAGCTTTAAGGAATCCCCTTCAGATTTTCACCCTAAATGATTGTGCATTGAAGTATAACACAAGCAACAACCTCATTAATGATATCAATCATGATTGTTGTCAACAAACTTTGGTTGGCTCGTTCCTATCAAGGTTTTAATCTATGGCCGGCAATTTATTCTCGTTATAAACAATTGCGTAAGTCCCTTTACTACAAACAAAAGGTAAATGTATAGACGAAATGATGATTGCCAATTTCATAAGTCCCTTTCAAGTCATCTTTTAAGTGTTTGGAGTTAACTCTAAGCAAATACTATATATGATCGCAAGACCCCTTTTTTAACTCAAAAATGAAAAATGTGGCACTGAGTTCTGAGAAAATTAAGATGGCGTATATCTCGATATTTGCAAGAAGCTTTGGCAAGAATGAGAAGAAGAAGTTGGGATATGGAGCTACTGGAAGTTTGATTATGGCATTCGGCATTTGGATTGTGTTCAAGCATTATTTGTGTCAAGTTTCAGTTTGTAAGTACCATTTTCAATTAGTTATAAATCCTATATCATGCGCAAGTCATTAAAATAATTGATATTTTAACAATTCAGTTTTTCTTAAATTATTCACTTCTTGTGATGCAGTGAGTTTGCAGAAGATACCAATAGATGCTAGTCTTGAAATGCCAGTGAAAGTGATCAATGATACAAAAATCTCAAGGTATTTAGGTATGATACTAGGAAACCTGAAAATACATAAATTTATGAATTTGCATTGTCACAATCACTACCAAGTTTACTTGAACTTAGCTATGCACAATATTTCATTCTAGCCACCAAACACATGATATAATTCACCTTTTAACATTATATTACTGAAGTGCAGAGGGTGAGACAGAGAAAGTCAAGCCAACATGCAATTTCTTGGAACCAAGATCAGATTATTGCGAGATCACTGGCGACATAAGAGTTCATGGGAAATCTTCCACTGTCTCTATAGCTTCATTGCAATCAGGCTTTCAGGTTGGAAATTATTCATGGAAAATAAGGCCTTACTCTAGAAAAGAAAACTCAGTGGCAATGGAGCTTGTTAAGAATTGGTCAGTAAATTCGCTGACAGGTTATAATAAAACTCATCATTGTAAACTCAATCACAGTGTTCCAGCCATTCTTTTCTCCCTTGGAGGATTTTCAGGAAATCATTTTCATGATTTTAGCGACTTAGTGGTTCCTCTGTATATAACTTCTCAGCAATTTAATGGGGAAGTTCAGTTTCTTGTAACAGATTATAAACCCTGGTGGGTTTCCAAGTTCCGGAGAATACTTGAGAATCTTTCAAGGTATGAAATTATAGACATTGATAAACAAGAGAATGTCCATTGCTTCTCAAGTGTGATTATTGGCCTGAAATATCACAAAGAGCTGAGCATTGACCCTTCAAAATCCCCAGCCGGAGTATCCATGAAAGATTTCAGACGCTTCCTGAGAAGCACGTACTCCTTGCAGCGAACAAAAGCAATAAAATTGCGAGAAAGTGATCAAGATCGAAGGCCTCGGTTATTAATCATAACAAGGAGAAAATCGCGAGCATTTGTGAATGTGGGTAGAATAAGTAAATCAGCAAGAAACTTGGGGTATGAAGTAGTAGTAGCAGAGGCTAATCTTTCAACAGATTTAACAAAATTTGCAGCATTAGTGAATTCTTGTGATGTGTTGATGGGAGTGCATGGAGCTGGACTGGCAAACATGGTGTTCCTCCCTGAAAATGCAATTCTGATTCAAATAGTTCCGCTGGGAAAGATCGAGCGGCTGGCAAGAGCTGACTTTGCGGAGCCTTCAAAAGACATGAATATAAGATACTTGGAGTATAATATTGGGGTGAAAGAAAGCTCTCTGATAAAAGAATATCCAATTGAGCATGTAATTTTTAGAGATCCAATGGTAGTTCATAAGCAGGGTTGGGGTGCAGTGAAGTCAATGTACTTGGAGAGACAGAATGTGAAATTAGACGTGCATAGGTTTAAACCCACATTGTCAAAAGCTTTTGAGCTTCTACGTCATTAGGGCTTATATTTATATATTTATAATATTGCTTTATTTATTCATCTTCCCCTGCTTTTCTTTCTTTCAAAAGCTAGAAAAAATGTGAGAAGGATTACGGTGGTAATTGCACAGTGTCAAGGCTTCAAGTAAAACAAGGCTTAAAGTTTTACAGTCACCTGGTTGGCCTTAAAGTCTTTTTATAACCAATCAGCTTCCTCTTTAAAGTTCCTTTACTGGACTTTACCTGGTTGGGCTTTACTAAAGTTAAACTCACCTTTACTTAATTAAGCCCAGCTCATTCTCAATTGGACCAAGTCCAATTCTATATTTTTAAATCATTGGCACATAAATTGAAAGAAAATAAATCAAAACCACTTGGACTTTGCTGGTTGAATGAAGAAAAAGGAGAAAATAATTATACTGATATAGAATTTGTTTATTATAGGTGTAAAGAGAAGATTAGTTTTTAAACTTTATAAGTGGAAATTTTTGTTTTAGGATTTAAAATGGGTAGATTTGGTGAGTAATATCATGTAAAATAATATTGATCTTGATCTATACAGATATATTAATTAATAGCTGAGTAGTATGTATATACGTTCACATTGCTCGGTATAATTTTATCTCTACATTCACGTCGTTTTGTTTTCAGTAGTCAATTAATTTGTGATAATAAATATGCATTAATGAATTTGTAGATCAGAATCGTAAAAGATAGGTAATTAAGTAAAGACACCACATTAAAAGTATATCATTAAGTTAATTAGCTCAATGGTTGATAGCTTATATTAATTGCATTGGATTAGTAGCAAATTGGACAATATTCTAATTAATCAATATCCTCAGTAACTGCATTGTACTCCATAAACTTATCCAACTAATAGTCTACTCCATTGTCCATTGTATGTTTTAACTTTATATTATCTCATATAAGATGCTGGGTTTGTCTTTTATTTATAATATTGTATGTATATAGGCTTCAGTTTCTGAAACTTGAGGCGTGGTTTTATCTCATATAAGCTTCAGTTTCTTTAAATTCATATTGGTTGATCCTGAAGCAGCCAAGTGATGATGTGGAAGCTCTAATTTGATTTGGGTCCAGTTGACATGCGCCGCACGATGATGCTTCGAAAGTCCACCGCCATATATAATTTGGCTTCTCCATTTAGTTTGAGGTGTTTTATAGGTTGTTGATGGATATAATGTAGTTCGGTAGATTGTATTAATGGCTCAACGATAATAATGGGACAGGATGAAGGACCGGGAGTCACCCTACCCAAATTGGCATATAATTATATTGTCAAACTTTCTCACCAAGATAGAAATAAATGTCCATACAATATTGGCCTTTCACCGGTAACCTCACGCTACCGGCGCCGCAACACTACAACTCTACTAAAACACCTTTATCTCCGAGGATGGTTCCTACATATATCTGGATAATACAAGTTCTCTTGGACTAATTTAACCGAGGAAAAACCCAACTATATAATCACAAATCAAATTTGGTTAGTTCAGCATTACGTTGATGTTTACAGGAAAAAATAGTTATACGAAATGTTACTAATAAAATTAATTAAAAGAGTGAAATAAATCGGGAAACATGCAGAGTCTCAAGATAGAGCTAGCAAATATCTTACGACCTTGGCTTTGTGCAATTTGTGTTTCAATGTCACCCATATAAACTAAAGAAGTTACTTTGCTGCAAGTTTACATTTGATTTGAACACATTACAAATCCACCAACCTGTATTATAATTTTTTCATTACTATTATAATTGGTTTGATATAAAAAGTACATACCCTTTCAATGTACATGACACATAGAGATCACAACTTCACCAAATGATAGAAGATCTATAATATTAAACATTAAATTAATTTGTAATATATAGTCAACAATGGGTGTGGATATCGCTTATTTTAAAAATAGCTAGTGATAATTAATGGTTAACTCTCGCCAACGAACACTACGAGAGAAAAAATTCTTTCAGAATTTTTCACATTAAAGCCTGTGTAAATATATGTTACGTTGGGAGAGTGATGGACCTTAGTTTTATTGTTTTTGTTAGAGAGAAGGGACCATTATGCATGCATGCATGCATATAATGTTATGATTTATTAGAATAATGTAAGTGGTCCATTATGAAATGCAACTGAGGTTATATACTTTTTCTTAAAGAATTCACCGAATAAAAAATTTCATCTATAAATAGCATAACCGAGTCACTCAGTTAGTCACATTGCACTAGAAAACTAAGTAGAATGATGCAGGCAGCATTTGTGACTGTGGCTAGCCCTCTCTCTTTTTCTCCTTGTGGGTTCAGAAAGAGAGTTGGTGTCAAGTGCTGTGCCAATGCGCCAAAGTTCAATGGAGTTTCAAAGTCTGATCAGGATATCCATTTGGATACTGGCGGACTAAGTAGACAATGCTTTCCCCACACTTTTGCTTTTGGAGCTTCAACTTCTGCGTATCAAGTGGAAGGAATGGCTCTTGAGGAAGGTCGCGGATCTAGCATCTGGGATTCCTTTGTTAGAAGTTCTGGTATAATATATTATATTTATCAACTGTACCCATACAATCCTTCTTTACAAATTGATGCATCTTTCCCGCCTTAATATGAGCGAAGTCATTTAATCTAATAACCTTTTTGTATAACTCTTATTAAGGGATTCAAACAATCCAACAACAATATCCAAGTATTCTGTTCATTGTAACATAATCTCCTATGCTAATATATATCAATTTTATCTTAGTTATATTGCTATAAATTCTTTTTATGACAGGGAAAATAAAGGATAAATCTACAGCAGATGTTACAGTGGACCAGTATCATCATTATAAAGTGAGACTATTTATATATATATAATTTTTTTTTTCGTAAACATGATTTATGTAAATTCTCCTTCTGTTTTAACAGGAAGATATTGATCTTCTGAGAGATTTGAATTTTGACTCTTACCGATTCTCAATATCATGGTCTAGAATCTTCCCAGGTAATTATATTTATTCTAATATTGATATTAACAAACAGCTGGCACGACACATATATCAACTTATCATCATATTCCTTAACCCTCTTCAATCCATGTTGTTAAATATAGATGGAACCGGGAAAGTAAATTGGAAGGGAGTAGATTACTACAATAGATTGATCGACTACTTGCTCGAGAAAGGTAAACTCCAATTAATCAAAGATCTTGCAATTAAAAATGTAACCTAGTTATGCATTGTTAAATCTTCATATTAACGTGAGACAAAAGCGACATCTGAAGCTTCTCGAACTGAGCTTTTAGGTATTACTCCCTACGTCAATCTTCATCATTTTGACCTTCCTGAGGTACTTGAAAAGAGATACAGTGGATGGTTATGCAAGAAAAAGGAAATAGTGTGAGTACTTAATACTTAAGCATGCACAATAGAAGAAAGTTTCGAAGAAACTATTAAGTCAAGTTAGATTTTAAATTGTTGATAGAATTAGTGTTTGAAATTTTACAGGAAAGATTTTGCTGATTATGCGGACTTTTGTTTCAAGTTGTTCGGAGACAGAGTAAAGAACTGGTTTACTCTTAATGAACCCAGACTTGCAAGTATTTTTGGTTATTACTATGGTATTATTGCTCCTGGAAGGTGCTCCAAACCAATTGGAGAGTGTGAGGAGGGGTGTTCTCCAACTGAGCCTTATGAAGCTGCCCACAACATGATTTTAGCCCATGCAGCTGCCGTCCAAAGATATCGTCTAAAATATCAAGTAAGATGAATAAGATGAAAGATTTTTTTTTTCATTTTTTGCCATTATAATTTATGTTATTGATTGTCTTAAGTGATCGACTAAATGTGGACATTCATTTTCAGAAAAAACAACAGGGAAAAATTGGAATTGTCCTGGATTGTAGATGGTATGAGCCTTTTCGCAGCCCCAGAAATGACCATGAAGCTGCTAAAAGAGCAATCGACTTTGAAATTGGATGGTAAAATTCTAGCCAGCGTCTTTAATTAGAATGGAAATTAAAACGATTTTCATTGTATAAAAGTGGTTTTGACAAATGACAATGATTGATACTGGGACATTCATGTAGGTTTATGCATCCGATTTCATGTGGTGAGTATCCAAAAAGCATGATACATAACGTTGGGGATAGACTACCAAGTTTCACGGAAAAAGAGAGAGACATGGTGCGGGGCTCAATAGATTACGTGGGTATCAACCACTACTACACTAGTTATGCCGAAGATCTAATCGAATTGCCGCCTGGTTTACCTGCAGGCTACGAAAAAGACCGCCGTGTTACTGTTCATGGTAAGATCTCTCACCTCACCCTTTTCGGAAAATAAAATAGAGTATATTATTCAGGTATAATAATATTATACTTAAAAAGATTTCTATACAAAGTGATATGATAAAAAATGAATGGAAGAGTGAAACAAAAAATCAAACTTATTAAATTCACTCTTCTATTCATTTTTTACCACATCATTTTTTACGGAGATCTCTATACAATTTCTTTGTAAATGTAGTATTACTCGTTAAAATATTTATTATAGTTTCTTGACATATATATTTTGCAGATGACAAAGTTGAGGGGGCAAATGGTTCGAATAATGTATCTCTTCGATCACAAACTTTTTATTTATTTATTTTTTAATATTTGTGCAGACATTATATGAGTTTTGTTTGACTCTATTAAAATTTGCAGAATGGTAGACCTTGGGGTATGTACAAGCTTTTAATGCACCTAAAAGACAACTATGGACACTATCCGATCATTGTGGTGGAAAATGGTACGTTTGAAAGATTCATCAGTTAGATTATTGAAATGAATTGATTAAATTGTATTTTACACTGTATTTATATATAATCTAAAAATAGCTTGCAACAAAAGAAAGTAATACTAATAGACAAATTCTAATTGCGTACAAGGTAACACAATTTTCCTAATTATATATGATTAGTTGATTATTCTTAAGGAGTCACTAATTATATCTTAGATAAAGTTTTCAATAAGATGGACAATTGAAATATCAGTTGATGTGTTTATGTATAACCCATGGTCCTATACCACAATCAAGAAATGTACTCTTCAATATGCACACGGAACATATAATTTTGACACATGATTTACAGGGACGAATGATGCGAGCGATATCCTATTTCCCTACGTATTGCATGACAAAGCAAGGGTGGATTATTATAAAGGCTATGTGGATGCAGTGAAGAATGCAATTGATAATGGAGCAAAAGTGATAGGCTATTTCGCATGGTCACTGCTTGATAATTGGGAATGGAGTAGAGGATACACTACGAGGTATGGCATTGTCCATGTTGATCTTAACGATCAAAAGAGGTACCCCAAGTTGTCTGCATATTGGTTCCAACAACTGCCTCCAGGAAGAGAAGGTGAAGCCTTAAGCCACAGCCCGAATGTCTCTTCTTAATAATGGAATTGTGGTTTATGTAATAACTAAAAATCATCAATAACTCTTAATCGAATCTACTAGATACGAGAAGTAGTTGCCGGTTAATGATATATATGTTCTTCTCTTTAATTATCAATATAATTAAATCATGAGAGTCACTATGTACTAATCTATATGTTTAAGGTCCACGTTTACTGGATGTTTAAACAGGTTTAGAGGCATTAATTTCTTTAAAGCTCATCAATATTTGAACTATTCTTCTCTATTTGTTTTATTGAACAACGGAGAAAAAGGGTGGGAAGAGATTGTGGAGTGGTTGGCTATATATTTTTTTTGTCAACTGCAACAGCATTATTAAGTAGTATTTGGTAAGATGTGTGAGTTTTAAGTTTTATTGAGATAATTAGGAATGACAAGACTGAGACCCTGCCTAATTTTATGCCGCATCACTTGAAGCAACGCTCTTCACCGACGATATGAACTTTAAATGGCGGAGTAATTGTAAAGACAATAAACTTCCATTTAGGTGTATTTATAAAACAAAATCCAAATTAAATGAGGGATAGAAGATCAGTTTCAATTTTATTACAAGAATTGACGTTGCAGCTGATACGTAGGTTCCACACTAATTTAAATCGCAGAATATATTATACTCTTAGGTTCATAGCATAGTTTGTGGCCTTGGACACGCTTAGACTAGTAAATATTTTATACTGAGACACACTAATTAGCTACTTCAAATTTAGCTAAAATTATGTGATCCCCACTCCACACGCAGTATTATGAGATTAAGTTTAAGTGTCGCTAGCTTTCTTTAGGTTTATTCAACTAACTCATGTATAAATTAGTTTCTTTGCAGAAATTACGTTACATAAGATATTATTATTAAGATTGGTGGTTTTTTGGTGACTTGTTTAACACCATCTTATGGCTCAGAAGTAAACTCTTCTTTAAGTATCAAAGGTTAATTGAAAGCCATATGAAATCTCCGATAATGTCAAAAGTTTTTTCAATCTCAATTACCTAACGCATGCATGTGGCAGTTAGTAAACTGTCACTTTCACCATCTTTTCTTTAACACCTCTGGTGTGATTTTGATTTACCAATAGCACTAAGGAAAGCAACCCGGAAACGGCCACAACACCCAGATATATATCATATTCATATTCATATTCTCATTATTCAGATAATTTTTTCAACATTTTCCATTTCCAATTGGAGACAGATACACCAAATTCTTAGCAAAGATTTATTAATCGAAGTTGAAGCTCGATCATTTTCTATTCGGTTGATCATCATGGAACTACTCCAGAAACAACACTACAACGATATATACATGCAAATACAATATACCAGCCAGCTAGCAATACAGAAATTAACAACTTACTTTGATCGATATTCAATAGAGAACTTGGCCTATCAGTTCCCCTGGTTCAGAAAGGGTTACCAGCATTAATAGATTAAGTAATCATACACTACTGCACAAAAGAAACAAGAAGACAAAATAATATGGTAATGACAAGTAGTTCATTATTGTTGATGCGTGATTTTTATATCAACTAAAAGCACGTGTGCAATGATGAGCTGGCTCAAAAGACACACGTGAATATAAAGGATAATGAGAGTAAATGCAATGGGAATACCTTTTAAAGTGGTTTGGATGCTAAGGTAGCAAGTCCTACGTCCACTGTTGTTTGTATTAATGATAGAAGTCAAGTCGCATTAGCTGACTGACTTACAGATGATAGTACAAGCGAGTGAATGCTATAAATTATAGAGAGAGAGTAGCTAATCAAGAGTAAAAAAATGAGCGAATCCCACAAATAGGAGAGAAGCTCTCTATTTATAGTGGGATACATTAAGGCAATGATTATTGAATCTGTGAGTTGGTGGGATTATCCGTGTAAATCATTCTTTATGTCACATTACCCACATTTTAGAGTGATTTGCGCGATTTGGCGCAGGGATTGGACACGTGGGATCACCACAGCTTCTGGNGGGAAAGTTAGAGAAGTATTCTAAAATATATAATATAAAGGAAAGTTAGAGAAGTATTCTAAAATATATAATATAAAATTAAGTTAGAGAAGTATTCTAAAATATAATATAAAGGAATGTTAGAGCAGTATTCTAAAATATATAATATAAAGGAAAGTTAGAGAAGTTTTTCCACATGTATGCGTTGGTGCCTTGGCATGGATGATCCACCTATTGACCATTCAATTTTTTTTTCAATAAAATTTGTCTTGATCACACTCTATTTGTATTATTGTTTCTATACGGGATCTCACTTATTTAATTTAATTTAATTTTATATTATATTATGTTGAATTTGTTCTTTCACAATTTGTTCCTTTCCTATTTTATATTATTTTGAATTTGACCCTCTAAAGTCAATTTATAAGTCCGTCCCTTTGTCTTGGTGATGTTTAATTTCTGAAAACCTCATGAGAGGTCAAGGATAAAAATCCTTTCTAAAAGCAGATAATCAAATTACTATTCGAAAACAACAAGTACATATATATATATATAATTCTCGTACAAGGGTTGAGGCCAAAAGAAAAAACAAGTATATAATTAATGCTATCAAATATGTAGTTGCATACAAATACTACACATACATCATTTTCGTACAATATTTCCTATACAACATTATGTGGCAAGATATGATTGACTAATTTAAAGTTAAAATTAAACTTTCACCCAATCACATCTTGTCATATAATATTGTATAAAAAATATTGTATGTGAGTGATGTATGTGTAATATTATTCTTAATATATATAGCTACCATCCATGGCCACAACCTGAAGATCACTCGTAATAAATTTGATTAAACGGACACTGCCATTTGGGAGCTGATGGTTGGTTCACGCATGTAACCTTAATTTCTTTCCAATCACATTTAATTACCGAGCTTCAACTAATATTAGAGCATCTCCAAGGTGCTCTTTATTTTGAAGAATATCTTTCTTATAAATAAAGAGTATCTTCATTAATTTTTAAATATAAAGAACGTAATTTTTATTCAAATTTAATAGACTTTTTAAATTTAATGAAGATACTATTTATTTTTAAGAAAGAGACTTAATGAGAGAGAGAAATAATAAATAAAATGCATAGAAAATTATAGTTTATTAATTAAAATTAGGATAGAGAGTGAAATTTGACTCTCTAGATATAGAGAGTTAAACTCGCTCTTTAATTTATATTTTAAAGATAAAGAGTTTGTTAGATTCTTATTTTTATGAATAGACTCTTTATAATAAAGAATTTAATTCATATAAAAAGTTTTTTAGAAATGCTCTTAGGAATGTATATGAAACCGTATATTGAATCATTGTTCACAACTAAATTTGACGGCTTCTAGCTTGAACTATAGATAAATACAGAGGGAAATAAATTTCGCCTGCCAACTGTTGCCTTTACCTATCATTTGATTGCCCCACAACTCTCACTCTTCACTATAAATATGATAGAATTTTGCTTTACTTATACCAATTAACACTGCCCTCAAAATTATCAACTTCGTTATTCTCTTCCATCCAAAAAGGTATAAGAATTCTACTTCCTTCGCTACTTGTTTTATTTAATTCCTTTTACATATATAATAGTTATCCATATATTATTATTTTTATCATGAAAGAAACTATGTTTCAATCACTTAATTTGAACCCCTTCAGTAATGGTATTGTAACAATATCCTGACGCCACCATGGCGTTGAGGAATTAAACCTACACCGGTGCCAGCTTTCTGGCGTTGGTTTTGGCGTCAGTGTAGACCGTTTTTCTTGTGGTGTTCATGGGGTATGCATGATCTATCAATATATTCATATATATCCTTTCTATATACATGCGTCATTTCTTCTTATTTTTTAGCTTACATACAATTTTTAACAACTAGGATTAACAAAATAGCGTGCTGTAAGTGATTCATTATTGAGCAATCTTTCTCTTTCCTTTGCTACTTTCTGTAAACAAGGTTCTGATCCACCTTCTTCTTGGTCTGTTCAGAGCATTCCTTTCAATGAACTTATTATAGTAGAAGTGTTCATTTCGAAGTGAAAAATATCATCTCATTGTTTTTCATGCACGTGTTAAGTTTTTACTTTTTACCCGGAACTTGTTTTCTTCCTCCAATCAACTGTATTTTATGAAATTATTCATACTTATCCTAAGTCCAATAATATTATGGAAAAAAAAACATGTTGTTAATTGTGTCATTTTCTGAGCGGATGTTTCCACATGCAGTAAGCTACATAGATATCTCAAAACAAGATCACTTTTTGATGATATCTGCTAAGTGCTTTATATAATTAACCTATATATTACTTCTTCTTTAATTAATGTTTAGCCATTTTAATGATTGATTTCCTTGATATATATGGCTTGTCAAAAAGTTTCTTGTTAGGCAAATAGATTAGAGAGATGTGGAAGCTGAAAATAGCTGAAGATGGACCATGGCTGAGCACATTAAATAATCACATCGGAAGGCAACATTGGGAGTTCGATCCAGATAGTGGAACCCCAGAAGAAGTTGCCCAAGTGGAAAAAGTTCGCCAAGAATTTAAGAAGAATCGGTTTCGGGTTAAACAAAGTGCAGATATCTTGATGAGAATGCAGGTGTGTGAATTAATCTCCATCTCTTTCATGTGTTACGTAATTATGATTATTAATTAGTAAACAACCTTGTCTCCTACCTACTTGATTAAGTATAGGAAATAAAAGGAATTAGGAATATCGAGGTTGGACGACGGAAAGCAAGAAAATTAGGATTTTGGCCGGTCGCCATTGTCTTTAATTACAAATACAAGAATCTAAATTGGGTTATTCCAAGTCACACAGATGGTGACTCTTAAATCTTGAATTATTGTTTTGCCTGCCTTTTTAGTAAGTGACTTACATATCTTCCAGAAATAATTACTGTTGAGCCATTTGCCCATGACATTTGGAAACCAAACGTTTATGAGAGTTAGGGATTTGAGAGCAAAAACAGAGAGAAAAGAGGGATTAGAACTTTTCTTAATATTTCAATTGAGTGAACAGTGTTACAAGTCAGTTTTAATAGCTGATTATTTCAACATAAAAACGACGACAGTTTAACCTTTCTAAAACGTCACCGTTTGTCTAACAGCCCCAATCAAGCTAAACTCTACTCTCTACATGCAGTTTCAGCTTAGACAAATACCGTTTGTCTAACAACGTTCACCCCCTTTGGTTGTGGACTATATGAAACGTTTGATATCCCTTATTACCCCGACTGACTAGTTCATGTATTTGTTGCAACATGTATTTTTTTATGTTATCTGTGAATACATCTTAAAAATAATTATGGTAAGACTTTTTAAATAAAAAGAAAATTCCTGAGCATTTAGATTTTCAATCGAAGAATTGTATTAGGTTAGTCATGTCATTTATCTCGTACAGTAATACAACCAACTATTATACATACAACCTATACATATTAATTATTAATACATGCAAAATATGTGATATTTAATATTGATTTTTAGTTGTAAACCCTTTCACTTTATAGATATTATATCAATTTTTTGTGGATACATTAATTGAATATGTTATATTATTATTAAAATAAATTGAATTATAATTCTTTGAATGATAAAATAATCTCTTTAAAGATCTCTTGTATAGAAGCAAATTATTAAAAGAAAAGAAAAGAAGAAGAAGAAGAAGAGAGTATGCTCCAATAGGTGTAAATAGGTTAATGAAATAATCCAAATAGCGGTTGTGACAAGAGAGTGAAAAGACATACTTAATTAAAAAAACATAAAAAAAATAAAAAAAATGAAAACAAGAGAGTGGAAAAACATAATTAATAAATAGAGAGATAAGTTTGAAAATATATTTTATAAAAAAGAAAATTTGATAAAAGCTACAAAATGGTAATAACAAGGGGGGACTAATGCTCAAATTATTTGTTCATCTTTCAAAACTAATTAATTAAATTATATATTTTAAAAATTTATGACATGATATTGTGATTGATTTAATTTGTGGCTTATGAAATGTAACAGCTTACAAAGGAAAATCCTCGTGGGGAAATTCCCGAAAGAATGGAAGTTAAAGAAGGAGGAGAGATAACAGAAGAAGCAGTGACTACTACACTAAGAAGAGCCGTAAGTTTTTACTCTTCCATTCAAGCTCATGATGGCCATTGGCCTTCGGAATCTGCTGGCCCTCTCTTCTTTATTCAGCCTTTGGTAACTCATCACTCTTAAATTATCATTCTCAATAACAGCTGTTTATTTATGAAATTACTAGTAAAATAGTAATCACTATTCTATTCCAACTAATTATGTGATGAGCAGGTGATAGCTTTGTGTGTTACTGGAGGACTTAATGCTGTATTATCATCAGAACACCAGAAGGAAATTAAACGCTACCTCTACAATCATCAGGTGTTTATAACACTGCTTCAGTTAACTTTATGTATAGCTACAGTAATCTAACCCTTTTTAATATTTTGAAAATAATTTATTTGAAAGAAAAAAAAAAATTGCTTAGAGATTGATTAGATGTTGGCAGAATGAGGATGAAGGTTGGGGATTACACATAGAGGGTGAGAGCACAATGTTTGGTTCAGCACTGAGCTACATAGCCTTGAGATTGCTTGGAGAGGGAACTGAAGATGGAGAGGACATGGCTATAGCACGAGGCCGCCAATGGATCCTTGACCACGGCGGTCTCGTGGCCATTCCATCTTGGGGAAAGTTTTGGGTTTCGGTACTTGGAATCTATGAGTGGTCCGGCTGCAATCCTATGCCCCCAGAGTTCTGGCTTCTACCTAAGATCTTCCCTATCCATCCAGGTACATATGTGAGTTTCGTCATATTTCATATTGCTCTCAAATCAGTATAACATTTAATTTATAAAGTTTGGATCCTTCTAAATAGACAAGCTTTCAATAAATGGCGTTTGTGTAATACTCAAATACAAATCCAAAGCGAACAAAATCTATTTGATTGAACTGCATGTAAAGTTTAAGAAAACTTTTAGTTTGAGTGGCATAATTCAAAATCAGGTATGGTTCCAAAGCAAAAAAATCTACTTGATAGAAAATTTGAGTTAGGTGGTATATCTCAAAATTGGATATCGATCCAAAGCGAACAAAAACTTGATTAAACCTAGATATAAAGATTTATATCAATTTAAGAAAACTTCTAGTTTAAGTGGTATAATTCAAAATTGGGTATCAATCAAAGCAAACAATATCTGCTTGATTGAACCCAGATGTGAAGTTTTATGTCAATTTAAGAAAATTAATTGAAAATTTAAATGCAGGAAAAATGTTATGCTATTGCCGGTTGGTTTACATGCCAATGTCATATCTATATGGAAAGAGGTTTGTTGGGCCAATCACCCCATTGATTCGATCACTCAGACAAGAGCTTTACAATGAACCATATCATCTCATTAACTGGAATAAATCCCGAAACACAGTTGCAAGGGTTAGTAATACTTAATTAATTGGATTCCTTATATATATTATGCAATTAACTAAGCTTATATGTATTTTATTTGATGATGGATCATCAGGAGGATCTCTACTATCCACATCCTTTAATTCAAGATTTAACATGGGGTTTTTTACACCATGTTGCTGAACCTTTCTTGACACGTTGGCCCTTTTCAATGATGAGAGAAAAGGCACTCAAAGTTGCAATTCAGCATATACATTACGAAGATGAGAATAGCCAATACCTCTGCATTGGATGTGTTGAAAAGGTACTTGAATTTAAACATATTTATATCTATGAAAATTCTCCGGATAATCTGAAATTTTTTACGTACAAATCAAAGGCGAACGTTTAGTTGCTCTAACTTTTGATTATAGAATTTGTGAAGTGAGTGACTAGACACTCACTTTTGGTCCGCACGTAACAAATTTTAAAACGTACTCATTAGACAATGTCTATTTATATTAATTGAGATAAATTTATCATAATTATATAATTAATTGTATTGAGTACAGGTGTTATGCCTTGTTGCATGTTGGGCCGAAGATCCAAAATCAGAAGCATACAAACGCCATCTAGCTAGACTGCCTGATTACTATTGGATTGCTGAAGATGGCTTGAAATTTCAGGTTAGAGATGGGTTCAAATGAGATAATTACATTTACCCCTGGGGTTCGTGTCTAGTACTCCAGATCCTACCGTTAAAAAAATCCCACCAATTATACAGTGATTGATCCCTAATTCTGATATAAGTAATTAGAATACCTAAGCACAAATTGAATATATTTTTTATGTAAATATTAATTTTTTCAATAACTTTTGGTCAATGTCAACTTGAGGACATCTTTGTCTCAGTGTAAAAAATGGTATTTCAAAGTTAGGATTTAATTAACAGAGGGGGGTATTTGAAAGGTTAAGATCTTGACTCTAGCGGACCAAAACCTCAGGGTGGATCAAGTCTTTCTCTACGCTTCAAATTTATCAAAAAATTAAGAATCAACAATGCCCTATGATTTGAATAACATAATGCAGACTTTCGGTAGTCAAATGTGGGATGCAGCTTTTGCCATCCAAGCAATTATCTCAAGTAATCTAGTTGGAGAATATGGGCAAACACTTGGTAAGGCACACGAATTTGTGAAAGCTTCACAGGTAATTAAATCTTAGTAGCAACTAACTAATTTGAACTCTTAATTCTCACTATCTAATCTACTAACTGAAATCGTGGTGTCATAAATAAAGGTACGACAAAACCCTTCTGGCGATTTCTCTTCAATGTACAGGCACATCTCTAAAGGTGCATGGACATTTTCGACACAAGACCATGGTTGGCAAGTCTCCGACTGTACTTCAGAAGGATTAAAGGCTGCACTCTTATTGTCACAAATGCCATCACATCTTGTTGGTCAAAAACTGGAAACAGATCGCTTATATGATGCTGTTAATGTTATTCTTTCCTTGCAGGTAATCAAGAATTCTACTTGTCATCCTTTCATGCAGTATTTTCTAGAAAGCTTATAAACATACAGAAATTCTTAACTGCGGACTTCAAATCTGAACACACACTATTTTAGTCTTTTTCTATCAAGAAAATTTCACAAACTCCTATACCCTCTCGCATGCAGAAGTTTAAGTTCGGATTTTAGATAATATATATTTCCTAAGTAGAATATGTTTTTCCTCTAGTCTTGGTAGATTTATTGCCACACTTACTACATATGTTTACCTAATGTCTAATACAGAGTAGAAATGGTGGTTTCCCAGCTTGGGAGCCTCAAAGAGCATTCAAATGGTTGGAGGTAAATTAGACAACTTATTAACTAACTTGTCCCTTTTGTAAACACGTTTCATATCATAGCTTATAAACCGTAACTAGTTACTAGGTAAGGGAAGTATTCACTCAACATTTCTAATTACTTTGTATCTTTCTCTTGCAGAAGTTCAATCCTACAGAGTTCTTTGAAGACACTCTAATCGAAACAGAGTAATGATTATTCAGCAACTAAGTTAACGGTATTGTATAATATCATATGTAAAAAGCAATGATGATTTTGCAACAACATAATCCTTTAGGTATGTAGAATGCACTTCATCTGCAATTCAAGGTTTGGCACTCTTCAGAAAGTTACATCCCGAGCATCGAAGAGGGGAAATAGATAGTTGTATCTCAAAAGCAATTCGTTACATTGAAGACACACAAAAGCCTGATGGTTCATGGTAAGGTTTTCTAGAATTTAATTATACCCTTCGAAATCAATACTAGATTTAACAATAGTTACATTTTGTGGTTTAAACTAAACTAGGTACGGTTGTTGGGGAATTTGCTACACCTACGGGACATGGTTTGCAGTAGAGGGACTGGCAGCCTGTGGTAAAAACTACAACAACAGTCCTGCATTGCGTAAAGCTTGTGAATTTTTATTATCAAAGCAGTTACCTTGTGGTGGATGGGGAGAGAGTTATCTTTCAAGCCAAAATAAGGTAACAATCAAAATTTATCGGTTCGGTAACTTCAACTAAAGTTAAACTTTGTGTTGTGTAAGTGTAACACTACTTTCTCCCACGTATAGGTTTATACGAATTTAGAAGGTAACCGAGCAAACGTAGTACAAACAGCATGGGCTTTGTTGTCTTTAATTGATGCAGGACAGGTCCGTATTATACTAATCTTACTCTAACATCAAGTAATGATACTGATCATGATGTTGCTTTTAACAATAGCTATAACTTGATGGGACATGTTCTGTTTAATTTAGGCTGAAGTAGATCCTACACCCATTCATCGCGGAATCAGGGTCTTGATCAATTCACAGATGGAAGATGGAGACTTCCCTCAACAGGAAATTACAGGAGTTTTTATGAGGAACTGTACACTAAATTACTCATCATATCGAAACATCTTCTCTATATGGGCTCTTGGAGAATATCGACGTCGTGTTATATTTGCCTAATTATCTAAACTAGAAGCATGAGATGAAACTAATGGTCACAACCTTTACACCCAGTGAAAGAATGAATGAATATATTATAAACCACAATATATCAGTTTGTCAGAATATGTAAAATATCAGAGAAGATGTAAATGTCTTCCTTATCAACTGTGCAAAATCTCTTCAGAAATGTCAATGTGAATATACTGTAATGTAATATGTATGATTGTACATGTTATATATACATCATTAAGATTTTACGTGATGTTTAACTTTGTGAGTTAATAGAACATCTGCCAATGCAGTTTGCACAAATAACAAAGCAAATTAGATTATTAAAACTCACGTAAAATAGTTGAATAACAACTTTAGTACTGACTAACTTTTGGCCAGCAAATTTATCGAATCCATTGAAACCATGGGATTTACATTTAGAGTATCATGTTAACTCTTTTATCATCAACCGAATTGGTCTAATTTTCAAACGACAGAATTGGCTCGCTACTATGTGAATGATGTGATTTTTTGGATTTAGGTTGAAGATTGTTTTGATCTTGTGGGATTATGAGGATGTTAATATAGAACAACTTTATTGGGGAAACTAAGAGGACTAGTTTTCGTACCAATAATTTGTTCATTGTAGGTCCTAGTCATTTCATTTTTAATGTTTCTAATTAATTTTCATGAATAAAATATTACTTTAGGGAAATTTAAAAATAAACAAAAAATAAAACCATAATTATTTGCCCCATTTTCAGGGTTTAAAGTAAAAAATAACCCCATTTTTTAGGGCACTTCAGTAAGACCTTTTATTTCAAGTTTTCCAACTTTACCTTTGCCTTTTCATCACTAAATAACACAAAATCCTTCTCTTCAACAAAGGGTTTAAGAATTCTTTTATTTGAAATTGAAATGTAGAATAATAAATGTTCTTTGTGCATTAAAACCAAAAAATAAAAAAATAAAAAATAGTGTGCTAATTCAATTGGGTTCAGAAGTAAAATTTCCTAAAAATGGTAAATAAAGTTGAGCATGGTTTGACACTTTGACTACACTCAAGTGCTCGACTAACATTACCCTGCTCAAGTGGGGTGGATATAATAATGAAAATTATATGGGACTTCCGTAACATTTTTAGAATCATATTGGACTCTTTCTGATATTGAATATATCCACCGGTAAAATCGCAGTGGATTTTTGGTGTACAGTACACAAAAAGATGTCAAGATCAATACCATCAATTTTATATAAGCCTAAAAGATATCATACAAGTCCCTAAAAGATGTACACTGGTTTGATGTAATAAATTAGATATCATATCATTTTGATTGATGTTATGCTTCATATAGGCTATGGTTCTAGTAAAGATGTTGTATTTACCATGAAATATTGTCCACTACTTCAATCAGGGCCAACACAAATCCCAACTACCTGTTTATGCTATATGGGAGAACACAATTTGGAAGATACAAAGAGAGGAAATGAGATGTTCCAAAGATTGAGCAAATTGGTTGACTCCAAAAAACTTGGGTTGTCAATTGCTCATGTTTTTTATGTTCACACGTGTGATTACACATGCATAATTTAGCATACTTAAATCCCTAGACAAAATATCGGGTGCTCTACCTATTTGGGCGCAAAAAGCTAGAGTCTCTGATGAACAGATTCCAAGAGGTCATGAGATTTGGAATTAAGGAAAAGAATCTAGGAGAGTTGCTAACTTCATAGGTCAGCAAAAAATGAAACACTTGAGAATTTGTCAAAGACAATATAAAAAAACTAACAAAGCCATAGTATAATCAAATTGTGTCACATTCTAGTTTTTGTTCATAATGGAAAATCAAAGACAATAATTGCGGAAATTTTCATTACCATAAGAGCTACATACCCTACATTACAGTCACGGACATAATCTGTTGTGCGAGACCTGGATCTTGTGGTAAGAGCTCTGTCAAGTTGTTTTCCACCTCTGCCTTCTGCTTCTCTAGGTATTCATTTGAGGTATGCTTGATGAAAAGATATCATCTTATTCCAATCCTTACCTTTTTACAGTCAAAAGAAAAAGAATAGAAAGGAATCCATATCCCCTACTTGATCGGCAGAAAAATAATGAGGAAAAGATATACAATCCCTCAAAGCTCGGAAAACTTGACCCTTCAATATGTGGAATGAATAGGAACAGAAATATAATTGTTTTTCTTCCTTTTCTTTCTTATTAAATTCCAAACAATTGTAAGTGACAACAATTTTCAATTTCATCTTCCTTAGAAATAATGAGTTCCCTTCCCTTGACAAAGCAAGGAGTTATGAAGGTGAGACATTTTCTGCAACAAACTTCCCATTTCCAATAAAGTCATTTCACTCGTTACCATAGTCCAAAAGTATGATTCTAAGAGAATATACTAGATTAAATCACATGAGCATGTGAAAGTGTAACAAACATAAAAAAGCCTTGATAGAGACTAGGTCAATCGATAGCATTTACAACTTTAATTCTGGCTGATCGTCATGGTAATTGTAAGAACTAAAAGAATAAACTCACACAAAACACAAATCACAAAGACAACAAAGAACCAACACACAACACAGAATTTTACCGTGGTTCACTTATCCAAATTGGATAAGCTACGTCCACGTTGAGCTCCGGAAATGGGAGAACTCACTGCACTACTTATTAGAAAAGATCCAACCAAGAACAATTACAAGCCTATCTCTCTCACTGTACAAGAAACCCTCACCGCAACTACTCCTGGAAACACTCACCTCGAATCCCCAAGAACAAAAGCAAATCAGCCCTCCTGATTGATTACCAAATCACCTAATTAACCCACATTACAAGAGTTTCTACAACCAAACTGAACAACTCAAAACAGAGAGAAAAATTGCAAAAGAGTAAAGGTTTTTCAGAAGTAAAATAACAGCTCGATTTTTCTGCAGTTGACTGGGCAACTTTTTCTTTTATATGTTGACTCAATAGAGATTCTCAACCATCAGATTTGGAAGAGATCAACTGTCAGAATTCATTTCAGCCAAATACCAAACGTTGCGTTTCATTAAACTTCACAGTAGCCTAATTTCAGTCTTCACTTCAAAATCAATAAATAATCTAATCGTCATGGAATTGGTCTATTCTGACCTATGGCGATCATCACCTGTCCCATCTCCTAAAGGCTTTAGCTACTACATTCAATTCTTAGATGACTATAGTAGGTTTACTTGGATCCTTCCTTTAAAGTTTAAATCTGAAACTCAAGCCATTTTTAAACAGTTCCATAAGTTAGCCGAGAGACAGTTCAATACAGTCATGTAATCTGTTCAAACTGATTGGGGTTGTGAGTATAGCAGTCTAACTTCATATTTTCTTGACCATGAGATTCATTTTAGACATCCATGTCCCTACGCTCACCAACAAAATGGAAGAGTAGAGAGAAAACAACGACAAATAGTGAAACAAGGTCTTACATTATTAGTCCAAGCCTGTATGCCCTTGAAATACTGGTGGTTTGCCTTTCAAACTGCCACTTTTCTCACCAATAGATTGCCCACTTCTATTCTATCAAACTGCTTTCCTTTTGAATTTTTATTTAAACAAAAACCCAACTATTCCATTATTAGAGTATTTGGGTGTGCAACCTATCCGTTTACTAGACCATATAGTGCTCACAAGTTTGATTTTCACACAACAAAGTGCACATTTGTTAGCTACAGCTTCAATCACAAAGGATACAAATGTTTAGATTCTAATGGCAAACTTTATATTTGTCTTAGTGTTAAATTCGATGAGTCTAGTTTTCCTTTTGCTACATGTTCTTCATCTCCTCACAGTAACATATCTACTTCTGCATCATCATTTTATAATTCTGATTTATCAGCTAATCAATCCCCTATTTCCTTTTTTCAATTGCCTACAGTTTCCTCTGCTTCACCTACACATGCTAAATCACATGAACATTTATTTACTACACCTACTGAGTCACAAGAACATTTACTCAATTGTCCTATTATATCACATCATTAGCAAGATACAACTATGAATATGTCACCTCACATTCCCTCAAGTTCCAGAACACTGCCTAGATCCCCAAATCACTCTTCTAAACCTGTTCAACTCACTGTTGAACTACCATTTGAAAAACAGCCTTTCACTTACACTACTACGAATCCCCATCCTAATAGCATTCAATTAGCTGTTGAACTACCATTTGAAAAACAGCTTTCCAATCCCCATCCTAACAACATTCAATTAGCTATTGAACTACCCTTTGCAAAACAGTCTTCCAATCACACTACTTCAAATCCCTTTCCTGATAGCATTCAACTAGCTGTTGAACTACCTTTTGACAACCAAATTTCATCTCATATTCCCTCTACCAACCATCCCGAAAATACTCAGCCTACAACTAACTTACCTGCTGCTCTACAACCTCTAAATACTCACCCCATGCTTACTAGATCCAAAACCACACTTTATAAAAACAATGCTAGTCACATCTCACCTTGACACAACTAAACCATTAAGTGTTTCTAAAGCTCTCTCTCATCTGGCCTGGAAATAAGCCATGCACAGTGAATTTACTGCCTTGCTCACGAATAATACTTGGGAACTAGTTCCAACCGAGCCTCACATGAATATAGTTGGGTGCAAATGGGTATTTAGGATTAAGCATAATACTGATGGTTCAATTCAAAGGTTCAAAGCCAGGTAAGTGGCTAAGGGGTTCCAACAAACTCCTGGAATTGATTACCTAGAGACATTTAGTCCAGTAATTAAGTAATCTACAATCAGAGTTGTGTTAAGCTTGGCTATCACCTATGGATGGGATATTCAACAAGTAGATGTAAATAATGTCTTCTTAAGTGGTGAGCTGAGTGAAACAGTTTGCATGTCTCAACCTCAAGGCTTTGTGGACTCCAAAAATCCTCTCCATGTTTGTAAACTAGTCAAGACACTATATGGCCTAAAATAGGCCTCGAGAGCCTGGTTTTATAAGCTCAGAACTGCTTTTCTCAAGTAGAGCTTTGTAACTTCTGTGGCTGACTCTAGTCTGTTTATTTACAAAAAAAATGATCAGGTTGCTTATGTTGTTGTCTATGTAGATGACATTCTCTTAACTGGTAGTGATGCTATATTTGTGAGTGGAATTATGCACAAACTGAACATTGAATTTGCCTTGAAGACTTTGGGGTCCCTGAAATATTTTCTAGGCTTTGAAGTTCTTAGAAATGACTCAGACATTCATATGAGTCAGGAAAAATATGCCAAAGATCTTCTAGTAAAAACTGGAATGATGGACTCCAAGGCATGTTCTACACCGATGGCTACAGGCAACAAATTAACCTTTGAGAACATTGAGTTATTTGATAATCCAACACTTTATAAAAGTACCATTGGAGCCGTACAATATCTAACTTTGTCAAGACCCAATATAGCCTACTCAGTCAATAAATCGAGTCAATTCCTTAAGGCTCCTACTCAACTACATTGGCAAGCTTGTAAAAGACTTTATAGATACCTTAAAGGGATAACAAATTTTGGAACTCAGTTCAGTAAAATTCATAGATTTCACCTAGAATGCTACACCAATGCTGACTAGGTAGAGAGTATTTAGGACAGAAGATCCACTAGTGGCTACTGCTTTTTTCTTGGCTCAAATTTGCTGCAATGAAGCTCTCGTAAGCAAAAAGTAGTGTCTCTATCCTCTACAAAGGTAGAATATAGAGCCCTTGCCCAAGGAGCTACAAAAGTAGCTTGGTTCAGAAGTCTATTCTCTGAAATTGGCTTGAATCTTCCTGAAATCCCAATTATTTGGTGTGATAATCAGAGTGTTGGCTCTCTTGCATCTAATCTAGTTTTTCATGCTAAAACCAAGCATATTGAACTTGATGCACACTATATAAGAGAACAAGTTGCTTCCAATCATGTGAAAGTTCAATATGTACCTACTGAATATCAAACAGCTGATATATTCACTAAATCCATGTCTACTTCAAGGTTTGAACTTCTTAGAAACAAACTACAAGTTACAACTGCTGTCGGTACAGTTGAATCTCTTCCTGAATCAACTAAAGATAAATAGAAGTGATAATCATATTCATATTCAGTACTGGATGCATACTACAATGTTCAAATTTGTAGTTGCGGCTTACTAAAGGTACTGGTGTGATCAGGTCACTTTCATATGCCTTCGATGTAAGTGTTCAGTTTGATGGCAGTCAATTTTCTGTTAAAAGGGATGCTTAATTGCCTGATGACAGTTTGATCAGGTTGTTGATAATCAGTTACTCTTGAGATCAGTTACTACTGGTGTAGTGGTTAGTTGATGGTAATCAGTTTGCTGTTCATGTTTGAAAATGTAGTCAATTTCACTTGACATTAGTTACTGGTGTAGTGTTCAGTTGATAGTAATCAGATTGCTGTTCATGTTTGCAAATACAGTCAATTTCACTTGAGATCAGTTGCTGCTGGTGTAGTGGTTATTTGATGTCAATTCGCTTGAGATCAGTTGTTATTACTGTAGTGTTCAGTTGATGGTAATCAGTTTGCTGTTCATGTTTACAAATGCAGTAAGTTTCACTTGAGATCAGTTGCTTCTGGTGTAGTGTTATTTGATGTTAGTTCACTTGAGATCAGTTGCTGCTGTTGTAATGTTCAGTTGATGGTAATCAGTTTGCTATTCATGATTGCAAATGCAGTAAGTTTCACTTGCTGTCAATTACTATTGGTGTAATGTTCAGTTTAATGTTGTTGACAATCAGTTACCTGTGATGAAATTAAGCTTACAAGAACTCCTGCTCAGTTTGATAAAAGATGTTAAAAAGTGAAAATGCACAATGTTAACACTGCTCAGTTTGTGGGAAGATGATAGTAAAAGTACAACAATTCCCAGTTCATTTTGAGGGAAGATGTCAGCAATAGGGGTGTTCAAAAGAACTGATTGGAACCAGAACCGGCGGGTACCCAGGGTTTGGTTCCGATTCTTACCCAGAACCAGCTGTCAACGGGGTA